AAACCGGGATCGTTGGTTCGAATCCCACTCAGGGCATGGATGTTTAGTTTGTGTGTGTGCATTTTTCTGTGTTTGTGTACAGGTAGAGGCCTTGCGACGAGCTGATCACTCGCCCAAGGAGTCCTACCGAATGTGTAAGATCTAGATTTACACTTTGTTTTAAGTTGACAATCAGTCAGATTGGCGAGAAGTGAAAAACCATGGGCTGTAAATGAACAAGTTCATGCTCACTTCCGAGGAGAAGTATTTTTCTGTACGCCACAGAGTCAAGGCTGACACTGGGGCCAAATCATACCCTACTCAGTGACTAGTGAAATTTCCTTTCCCTCAGAGGTTAAGTACCCGGAGCGTGAAACTGACTCGTCATCTCTATCTAATGCCAAACTTAAAAATGCGTGGTTTCATACCTCCATTCTCCCATACGTTTTCAAGTCACTGTGCTTAATTAAGCATATTTAAGTTTATATATACACGCGCGCGCGCCTGTGTGTGTATGTGGTAATGACTGTTTCTGTAATCTTTGCATAGCGTTCCTTTGTTTGCCTCTTTGAATACTGCAAGACAAATAGTGCAGTCCGAGTTTTTCTTCTTTTGGCGCTACATCCTCAATTCGGGACTTGGCCTACCACCCCGAAACTCTCGGTTTCACTTCGGTCTACTAGATTTTAGACATTCGGTAGGACTCCTTTGGCGGGTGATCAGCTCGTCGCAAGGTCTCTACATGTACACAAATACAGAATAACGCGCGCGCACATACACACACACTAACACCAAACACCCATGCCCTGAGTGGGATTCAAACACACAATCTCGACTTCCGAGAGAGCGAAGACAGTGCATGCCTTAGGGCTCGAACACACACAGCGATATCGGTCGTACGACGTCCGTACGGTTCATGTCGCATCAAGTAGTAGAATATAAAGTGTAGTCTTAGCTTTCATACGTGACGACATGCGACATCTACCGTACGGCAGTCGGAGAGCAAAGAAATGTATTTGGTCGCTATAGTGTGAAAAGGAGGTCGTACGGCAAAAAACTCTTACGACATTTTTCCGTACGACCGATGTCGCTGTGTGTGTCCCTAGCCTTAGACCGTTCGCCTACCGTGACCGGCCGCAGTACGATTACTGATCATATATATACATATATATATATACACACACACACACACACAGTGTTATATCTCTCTACAGCTTCGATTCGAAAAAATTTCGCTCCAATAAGTATTTAATGATACTTGTTCTGAAGCACCTGCAGATCTCAATGCAGTTTCCGTTATATTTTTGTCATATTTCAACTAACAAACGTCGCAATGCCATGTGCCATTATAATCCGTTCAATGTTTCTCGACTTGTTTCATGCGTATAAACTGACAGGTTGTCATTTTTTTCCCCTTGGCACTACAGCCCCAGTGGGCCTAGGCCTACCTCCATGAACTCCGTTCACTTCGGTTTTCTAGATCTTACACATACGGTAGGACTCCTTGGGCGAGTGATCAGCTCGTCGCAAGGCCTCTACCTGTACACAAACACAGAAAAACGCACACAAACATCCATGCCCTGAGTGGGATTCGAACCCACGATCCCGGCTTCCGAGCGAGCGAAGACCATACATGCCTTATACCGCTCGGCTACCGTGACCGGCGACAGGTTGTCATAGCGAACCTAATATGTACTCAGCAGGGCTGAGAATGTGCCTAAGATTAAATTAGGAAAATGATCATTTAAAGCACAGAGAGAACTTCACTGCAGTACATGCACACAGCCACTAGCCTCTGAATCTAGTCCCCAGCCTCACACCCTGTTTCCTTAACTAATTACCTCCATGGAGCCGACTCCTTCCCTATCTACGTAACATCCGTTCTAATTTGCTCCCATCTATGAGTACGTGTACTGCCTGGGTTCTTCCCTTCAGTTATTCCTACTGAAATTCTGTAGGGCAGTCGCATTCCTCGTGTCTCCATTTATTTCATATATATCTGTCCCTAATGCGAATCGTTAAGCGTCACTTCTTCGTTCACAACATGTTGCAGCAGTACACGGCCGTCGTCAGATGTCTACCACTGTGCTAAACTGCTCCATTGCACAGTATGTCACAATTTCATATCAAAATTAAAAAAATTAAAATAGGTCAGCCGTAATTAATTTTATTTAAAACCAATTAAATACCATTCTTTTTGTGGGTATCGTCTACGAGTCCAAACCATTTGTTTGTGGAACATTTCCTGCGGCGTGGGTGTATTCTTGTTATCTTGTAGTTCTTGGATTTAGGTGTAATGTTTTCTCTTATCTTCAATATGTAAATGATATTGTTACAAACAAACAAACTCCGTGGTATTAGTCCATAAGCGAACTATACCGACCGAGCGACCGCCGTTTATCGACAAAGTTAGTGCCAACTTTAGCGGGTAGAGGGTGTCGCGTGGTCAGCGCAACGAATCCCCACGGCCGTTAATTTCGGTTTTCTAGACCGGAGCCCCTATTTCCTTGAAATAGCTCCTCAGTTATCCTCACGAGGCTGAGTGCACCCCTTTCCTATATTATATTCCTATTGTATTCACATGTGCCCTTTTGGCTGCAGATTCATGACCCAGCCTGCGTTGCGTCGTTGTTGACTAATGTGTGCATGCTGATATTATGGGTGTTCAGCGTATCTATCTAGGGTGGGCCTATTTTAATTTTGATATGAAATTGTGTCTTACCGTGCAGTGCAGAAATGTGGCATAATGATAGACATCTGATGTTGGCTATGTACGGCCGAAACATATTTTTAAGGAAAAAGTAAAGTGGAGGCCACGGCATAGCCCAAGCGGTTAGTCGCTGGCTTCCCACCGCGGCCCAGGTTCGGTCCCGGTTCTGGTCAAGTGGGATTTGTGGTGAACAAAGTGGGCAGGTTTTCTCCGAGTACTTCGGTTTCCCCTGCCAATCTTCATTCCACCAATTGATCCACAATTACCCTCACCTATTATCTTGGGCTGGTACAATAGGCTAGAAGTGGCCGCAGTACAAGGGACTTAGTCCCACCCCACTAGCAATAAAAAGAAAGAAGTAAAGTGACTCTAAGTGACGGATATATGTTATATCAAATAAATGATATATTAATGCAGCATAATGCTTAAATAAAATAGTTTCCCATCCATGCCAAAAGCTCGGCCCGTCGTCTTGTATGATTCGAACATTCTAATAACATTTGGTGAAAAATAACTAATGATGAATCACCTCATTAAGCTCTTCGTAATTTTCTGCAGCCACCTATTATTTGTTATTAGGAAGAAAGTACGTTAGCGTTAATAACGAAGTATTCCTTGATGCTGTGACGGCAGATCGATCCGCGTTGCACAGTGCAGGTACGGGTACCCGTGGCCTGAATTTATTACGCAGTGTCTGTGACTTCAGGCTGATGTGTAATGTGCAGTGGGCAGAAAGCCAAGATTCAGCTCAGTACGAACAAGTACATCGGGAAGAAGTGACGAGAGGAGTACGACGTCACATGGCAATTACCACAACAGATCCGAGTAAAAACAACTTAAAATAAATATTAAGATATGCAGTTTTGCAGGGAACGTTCCAGCGTCACAAAAAGCTACACAGTTAAAAATAAATTTATAGAAATTACGCAGGTAGGATTAAATTATGTAGGATTTGAGGTATTCACATCGGTGGCTGTGAAGAATGCCGTCTTCTGGGATGTGGCGCCGTGTAGATCTTGCGTGAACCGTCATTTCGGAGAAACGTATCGCCTCCATCTTAGGGGTAGAAAAATCCGCCAGCGAGGAATCAGTGTGAGCAGGTGGCTGCAGAGTCTTCAGCCACATGCTCACGCTGATTGCTGACATTTTTCTACCTTGAAGATGGAGGCGATACGTTCCTCCGAAACATCGGTTCACACAAGATCTACAGGACGTCACTTCCCAGAAGACGCCATGAGGTTTTTATTTAAAGCATAAGGCCATGTATCGGAGAGCTGCATTACAATGCACAAACAAAAATAAATTAAAACATATTTTATAGACATTGTCCTCAGCCGCTGCGCTCTATAGCACGTAAGTAAAGTTAGGATTGAATTCCGTCAAGTGCAACAGTGTCGTTTTAATAATAAAATATACCATTTACAAGTTTCTGCCAATGTGGCCATCATGTGAAAGCACCTAGCAATTTAAAGAAATTCTTCATGTCTATTTTGTGCATGTGTTGTCTTGTAAGCGTCACAACACCAGTATTTAAATTATGATTTCTTAAAAGTAATAACATTTTTCGAGTGGTTAGAATCTTGCTATGAATCCCAGTGATGATCATGTTTAGTCACATCGGGCCGTATATATTGTGTTGGTCCTGTGTGTGTGTGTGTGTGTGTGTGTGTAGTGTTGTGTGCGATGTTTCTTTAAATTACAATGTATGCATGGATCTTCAAGCAATTCTGTACGTCAATGAAACAAGACTGAACTAGATGTTTGAAAATTATATCTGTCATCATCACCTGACCGCACGGCGTTATTTCTCAGAAGACAGAGCCTGTTCGTGGCGTACCGACCACGAAGGCAGTAACAATATAGAATTGTACTCCGGAGATACGTGGTTCGAATCTCGGCCAGAACACCGGTTATCCTGATTAATGTTTCGTGATTTTTCTCAGTCCCTCGAGGCAAATACCAGATACGTGGTTCGAATCTCAGCCAGAATACCGGTTATCCTGATTAATGTTTCGTGATTTTTCTCAGTCCCTCGAGGCAAATACCAGTAACTCGATTAGGTCACTACCTCTTCCTCCCAAATGCCTTCCATCTAATTTATCTATCAGCATATCCGACGTTATGCGTCCCGATTGTGAAAAAAAAGCATCGTTAAAGAACTGAGGGGAAAAATTGATAGCAAAACATTTAAATACTGCGTGACAAGTGAGACTGAATTTACCAAGATTTGTTTAACTCTGTACTACTCGTTACTATTAACTATTAACATGGCGTTACTGTTTGTCTGACATTGCTGTTTTTCTCTTTACAGTTGATTCAAGATGGCTGCTGCAGTTTTTGTGCAGAATGGCTGAAGCTGCTGCAGTATGTGGTGAGGAAACAAACTATTTATCACAGTCGTGCTCCGTAAACTGTGTGGCGCCTGTTCCCAGATAACGCTGCCAAATGGCTTCTCATGTACATGCAGAGATGCCAGAGCTAAGCAGCTGTCCTGATAATGAAACCCGTCACAGTCTTCAATTGTTATGCAGTCTTTACAGGACGCGCATGAAATGAATGCATACAGAGCTGGTCATGCCCGTCTCTTCGCATGTTTCAGCTGTAGAACCGACGGACTCCGATGAATTCGGTATGGACTTTATGTCACTAAAAGAGCCGGGATAGCTCAGCGTATATAGCGACTATACCACTGACTGGACGACCGAGAAATCAGGGTTCGATTCCTGGGGTAGGGTCAATAGAGTTCTCTTTTCTCCAAAACGTCTAGACTGGATTTGGGGCCCACCCAGCCTCCTATACAGGGGGTACCGGGGGCTGGTTCCCCGGGTGTAAAGCGGCTAGAGAGTGAAGCTGACCATTCACTTCCAGTTAGCGCCGAGATAAAGAATAGTGGAGCTACACCTCCACTCCCCATATTGCCTCATGGTCTGGTGCTTAATTAAGCGCTGGGATGACTTTACATTACCATTATGTCACTGAAGGCTACCCACTTATACTTCTAATTTCTTACGTTCAATAATACTAACATGGAGGACCCATGCAAATGTGAGGTAAGAGAATAATGTCTGCATTAAATCTTATATTATTTATCACCAGGTTTGTTAGCGGTAATCAATATACCACAAGAATTAGAAATATAAAATTTGGTATGGAGATAGGTCACAGAATGCTTACACATCATTAAATACTGTTTCTAATTTCAGTCAAAAACATGACAGTTATTTGCAACAAGTTTAGAAAGAAACAACATACATATAGTATTCAGAGTTGGAGGTATGCATAACAGGCTGTTCTTAATGTAGAGGGTCATATCTTCTGGAATATAACATCATGTATTCGGTTGACAATCAACCGAAGATTCGGAGGAAAATTTCGCTACCATCTTCAGGGTCGAAGTACAAGTCAAGAAACCAGTCCTGCTTGCAAACTGCTTCATGCTGGTTTCTTGTTTGGCATACTCTTCGGTACTGAAGCTGGAGGCGACATGTCCCTACGAAATTTCTGTTGACTTTCAACGGACTACACGCCGTTATATCCCAGTATATGGAACTCTTCACAACCACCGGTGTGAAAACCTCAGACCCTACGTATTTTTACCGTGTTCATGAAATCCATTCGTAATAACGAGAAGCGCTCAGAATGCAAAGGTTCAAAGAAAGCGCGTGGAAGCTCTGTGTATTCCGGTATGATTTAGTCTCGTTATTCATATGTGTAGTATACAGAGCCGATCTGTACATGCGGTGCCTCCAATGAAACTACCGTCGTTACCAAAAACATGCAGTTCAACAACACGTACGAGATAGCTCCCCTTCCTTCTTTATTCTGTTCTCATCAATGTTGTCTCTTAAACTAATTCCATGCTACGGACCCCTCCTTCAGAAGCTAACAGCTGTTCATAAAATGTAAAATAAAAAAGAAGTAAAGCTATCCCTGTAACAGGCCGTCGAGGCCAGTAAGGTTGTGAGACGTTGAGGGTCCCACATTATCTAGACAATCGGTTCAAAGATGGCGGTAAGGTTGTCAGCCCTACGCGCCGGCCGCCCTTTACCCCCAAGAATATTCCTGGTACTCATTTCTGTTAGAGACTGAGTCGACCCCAGGGCCATAGTGCGGCCGGAAGGATTAGGTCAATAGAAAAAATCCAGTAACCTCATCGGGAATTGAACCCGCGACCTTCCGGCTTGTAGCATAGTGCCTCAGCCAACTACCATACCGTGTGCCCCCCCCCCACAGGCGTTCATATGGTAAAGAAATTCTACATCGTTCATTTACTCGTAGCTGCAATGTTCATTACATATTTACGGAAGCCTCACACTATGTCATATCGACAGCCGGTCGAATCAAGTCAAAATTTTCAAAACATATTTCTTTAATATCAATTTTTATTCTTCAGTTTACTTCTAGGTCTCACAAGTGCTCTCTTCCCTTCAAATTTTCCCATTGTTTCCTGCTAAGTTTATTAATATTTTGCACAGATATCTCCCCCATTTCACTTTCGAAAGGTAATAATTCTTAAATTGACGAAAAATTTGAATTTATGTAATTGTCATCTCTTCGTGATAATTTCAATTTCTCGTTAATCTATCACTGGTTTCGCGTGTGGCACGACTTACTTTTTAGTGAGTCACTTTATGGCGGCGTCAGTAATTAGACTTTATAGAGCTGAATTGTACGATAGCAGATGATAAATTGGAAAGAATCTGGAAGGAAGTGGTCGTGACTTACTTGAGGTACTATCTACATATAGATCTAAAGTCCTCTGGTGGACCTTAGCCGTTTTTTTTTCAGTTTCTTAATCTTATACACAGTCAGTAGGACTCCTTGGACGGTGATCAGCCCACGCAACACCGCTACCTACACACAGACATCCATGCCTCGAGTGGGATTCGAACCCACGATCCCAGCTTTTGAGCGGGCGAAGACGTTCATGCCTCAGACCTCGCGGCCACTCTGATCGGTTATTTGAGGTATTGACCAGGAAGTTTCTTGAAGGGGTTGAAGATGACGAGGTAAAAATCACAGTCACTATAGCTGGTGACCCAGCCGAGATTCGAACCGAAATCCTCCCGAATACGATTCCATGTAGGAACGGCTTCTTAGATCGGAATATGCATTAATTCATTTCAAGGATGTGAATAAGGAGCAGACCGTACGTAGCTGATATCGAAAAAGAAATATGTTTCTTGTAGCTGTCTGCCAACGGGCAAGATAGAAATAAGGAGTAACCATAATATTATAGAAAAATTATGGCTTCGTGAACTGCTGAAGTATCAACTGACTCTAGATATTAACTCTTTAAAGTACTCTGATTATGACATGGTTTAACATTAAGAGGTCGAAGTTCGAGTTCCGGTAGGGTCAAGGATTTTCTCTTTTCCACGTCGTCCAGGCCGGCTCTAGGGTCCACCCAACCTCCTATCCAATGGGTACCGGGGATAAGGCGAACGGCCATGAAGCTGACCACTCACCTCTAACTAGTGCCGAGGCCAAGAAAACGTGGGTCTATACCTCCACCCCTCCATACGTCTTAATGGCGTAGTGCTTAATTAGTTAAGCACAGGTTACCTCACACAACAAAGTGCTGCAAGAAAGTCTGTAGAAACCTGACCGGATGTGCATTTTGTTTTCTGCAGAGTTCGAAATGAATTTTCAAATATGAGTATTATTTAAAGGGGACTTCCGACTTCAAATGTTGCTAGCAGAAATCGGCGATTCTCATTAACTTTCTAATTCAGGAAGTATTGTGGAAAATGGACGTGTAAAGAAACTGAGGAAACCTTTGTTTGAATGAGAAAAAAAAATAAGAATATCTGACGCAGTTCTGGTGAGCACGGGAACAGAGACTGAGGGTTAAGTGTCGTATTATGAGGTTCCCTCATGCAAATTCTGCTCCAACCCCTGTTGCATGTCTGCTCTTACTGAGAGACCATTAGTTAGATTAGGATAACAAAAGAAATCGTTAAAAGTCTGCGGTTGTATAGCCATGTTAAAAAAAAATCCGTTCGTAAATGAATCTGTAACCGCCAAGCTTATAAACACATTAACTGTATTGTAAAATGGAGAGTTCCTGTTCTATTCGCTCGCTATTCAGGGAAAGCTGTAGCAGAGAGACTAACTTAATGTCTGGGAGGTGAGGAGCTCCATTCTCCACCAGAAAAATCCTATCACTTCTTTAAGTTAAGCTGATTTTTCTGAATCATTACAGGCTAATATTCGATGGAAGATTTCTATCTTCTGGGACATAACGCTGTTTTTTTTCCTTGGCACTACAGCCCCAGTGAGCCTAGGCCTACCTCCATGATCTTCTCCGTTCACTTCGGGTTTTCTAGATCTTACACATACGGTAGGGCTCATTGGGAAGGTGATCAGCTCGTCGCAAGGCCTCTACCTGTACACAAACACAGAAAAACGCACAAACTAAACATCCATGCCCTGAGTGGGATTCGAACCTACGATCCCGGTTTCCAGGCGTGCGAAGACAGTACATGCCTTAGACTGCTCAGCTACCGTGACCGGCGGATAACGCTATGTGGTCTGTTGAAAATCGACAGACGTTTCGGAGGAACATGGCATCCATCTTTAAGGCAGAAGTAAGCTGAGAAAGACACTAGCGTGAACGCTCTGCTTTCACGCTGGTTTCTTGCTCGTATTATTCTACCCTGAAGATGGAGACAATATTTTCGTCAGAAATTTCGGTTGGCTTTCAACGGACTGCAATGAGTTATATCCCAGAAGACAAAACTCTTCATAATCATAGCTGTGAGAACCTCAAATATTCAAACAGTCCTTTGAAGTAGGCTACGGTCGCTTATAAATCCATTCGATGACATCGCTGACGATTATAATTCTTGTTGACTTTATAAAGGGACAGAAAATGGCGAATATGTCCACAAATATATGAATTACTCGTGATTAACCCTTAATTATCCACTATTAAATAAACTTAACATAGGACATTATAAGCTATGTTACTCACTGATCATTGCCAATGCAAGTCGAATGTATGGTATTATGAGAGCCGTGCCATAGCTCAAGCGGTTAGTCGCTGGCTACCCACCGCGGCGGCCCGGGTTCGATCCCGGGTCTGGTTAAGTGGGATTTGTAGTGGACAAAGTGGCGCTGGGGTGGGTTTTCTCTGAGTACTTCGGTTTCCCCTGCCAGTCTTCATTCCACCAAATTCTCGATCGTCATAATCACCCAGAGCAGGTACAATAGGCCAATCAGTGGTCGCCGTGCCGAGTGGACCCAGCTGGACACCACCCCCCCCCCACTAAGCGAATCACAGTTACTGCTTTTGTTACAGATAAAGCGAAACTGAAGACTGACTATTCTTCTAAGGTCAGATGCAAACTGAACTGTTCTCGGCAACTT